TCCCAGCTACTCGGGAGGCTGAGGCAGGAGGATTGCTTGAGCCCAGGAGTTTGAAGTTGCTGTGAGCTAGGCTGACGCCACGCCACTCTAGCCAGGGCAACAGAGCCAGACTCTGTCTCAAAAAACAACAACAACAACAAAAAAAATGGTTTATATTCAACTGAAAACTAAATAGTGAGTAGGCACTCAAATGCTTTAAAATCTGTAATTCCATTAGTTTGCCATTACTGTCATTGTCATGACACAGGAATTGCAGTTACGCAGAGCAGAAGCTGACATATGTCCCTTGTATTCTCTCTTGCTTAGAAACTCCAGAGGGGCTTTTTTATTGGACTGTGATATCTTAGTTTAAAGACTTCTAAGATTCAAAGAAAAAGAAATTGCCAAAGTGTATTTCAATCTTCCAACTAAATTATGAGTGCACATGTAGTTTTAGTATTCAGTGGGTTCTTGTCCGTAGTAAATCAGGCAATTTACCTGATATTTTAAACAGACTGTGTGCATAAACAAAACATTTAAAGAATACTCACCGCCACTGGCATATTTGAAAGTGCTTTATATTCTTTGGGGTGGATGATAGATATTGTATAAGTTGCCTTTTTGTTGGGCTCATCAAAGCAAGGGAAGGATTTGCGGGCATCCGTTGGTTCATGATCAGTAGCCGCTATGCTCCTTAAACACAAACACAGAAACAAACAAATGCAAACTGCCTCTTCCGACAGCCCCTGTGTTTCTATTGCTAGAACAAAATCAATTGTGCAATTATTCCTATGACATTTTTTAATATGCGGCTCAGCATTTCAAATAGTTGTCAGAGTCTTTCCTGAAAGTTTTAGGTTAATAAAGAAATGAAAAATCCTGAGACAGACCGCTTCGGCTATTTTATGTAAATATTTAGATATTTTGGTGCCATAACTAGAAATCTGTAGCTGAGCAAAAATAAATCCAATTACGAGCTATCACTCTCTCCACCCCAGAGCCGTTGAGCAACAAGTAAACACAAAGCCAAACTCAAAAGCTTGTTTCCAACTGTCCTATGAGACGTGAACAGCTGTGTTGTGTCACAGAGGAGAGGAATAGACTCCAGAGTCCCCAGTTTCCTTCCCTAATGGCACATTCTTTCTTATTTATGTTGCACCAGGGACAAAGCCCCGGTTTCATTTCCATGCAGAGGCGGTGTTGAGAAATCCCCCAGGTGAAGCAACCTTTGGCCTAGTTTAAAGCCTGCTTCTGGAAAGAGACACCAGCATTCTTTTATGGCTCTAACTAGGCATCTGCTCGTGTAAACAAAAACGTTCATGTTTAGCATTTCCATAATTTCAAATTGAAAATATTTTTTCTGAGTAATGGTGCAAAAAATATTAATAAACATACACATTTTCACACGTAAGCATATTATATGAAGAGTATTGTTGTATATTTTCTTAGACAACTAAGCAAAATAAAAGGTATAAAAGAAAGGAAAAGCAAAGAAATCTTGATTTATATTCATTAATAATGAACATACTTTGTATTTCAGGATTCTCAGGGACTAAGGAAGGCATATCATAAAGAATATCAAGCTAAATTATTAGATCATATATTCATCCAATGAATATTTATCCAGCCCATCCCCTCCTTACACAGACCCACACACACACACACACACACACACACACACACACGCACACACGTGCATACACGCAAATACTTACACATACCCACGTGGACACATTTGCAGACATTATTCTAGGTGCTAAGGAAACCACGAAGACTATATAGCTAAGGTCCCAGATTTCTTGCACAGTGTTAGACAATAAACACACAAATAAGCACATAATTTAGGAGAATGATGAGAGCTATATGGGAAATAAAACACTGGAAGTGGCAGAGAATGGCTGGCTAGGAAAGTGGTGAGCACCTTTCGGTAGACTAGAAAGAGACCATCTCTTGGAATAGATGTTGGTTTGCTGAGATCTGAATCCTGAGAAAAAGCCAGACAAGTGAAGATTAAGGAAAGTGTGTTCGGGCAGAGCGAACAGCTAGGTGCGGAGTGCCTAAGGGGAAAACGAACCCAATGTGGCTGAGGACCTGAAAGGTGTCCAGTGTGGTTGAAATACAGCGAACCAGGAGCGACTGGGCCGAAAGACAAGTTTGACACGAGGTCAGCAGAGGCCAGATCGGGAAAATATCGCGGGCCGTGGGAAGAGTCTGCATTTTATGTTGGTCCAAGAATTTAACATAATCAAGGATGTGACCGGATTGGCCACATCTGGAGATATCGGAACATCAAAATAAATAATGGAATTATAACCCATGGAATAAAATAAAAATCCATGAATCTGGCCGGGCGTGGTGGCTCACGCCTGTAATCCTAGCACTTTGGGAGGCCGAGGCGGGCGGATTGTTTGAGCTCAGGAGTTCGAGACCAGCCTGAGCAAGAGCGAGACCCCATCTCTACTAAAAATAGAAAGAAATTAATCGGACAACTAAAAATATATAGAAAAAATTAGCCAGGCATGGTGGCGCATGCCTGTAGTCCCAGCTACTCGGGAGGCTGAGGCAGAAGGATCGCTTGAGCCCAGGAGTTTGAGGTTGCTGTGAGTTAGGCTGACGCCACAGCACTTACTCTAGCCCAGGAAAAAGAGTGAGACTCTGTCTCAAAAAAAAAAAAAAATCCATGAATCTTTACTCTGATTTTAAAAAGGAATAAATAAATGGGGGAGAAGGGAAAGCTCTGCCTACTAATAATTTTTTAAGGAATAATAGATCTAGGAAATCATCAGTGGATGCCAAAACAAGTAGGTAAAACTTTGATGACAGAGGCATATTAACATAGTTTCAAAGAATCTCCCAGAAGATTACTTACAAAGAGAATAACTGCAATTTTACAGTGGAGAAACTTGTTGGATACTGCCTTAAGCAAGCAATCCAAGATAGCATCACAATAATCGTACAAACCATCAAGATGTGTCTTCTGATGCGTTGAGGCGGACACAACAGCACTTCCGTGATGTTCCTGACAAAAACGTTTGACTTGCATTTTTAAATCATGAGGAAAGTCAGACAAACTAAAATTGAGGGACATTCTCAAAATAACTGCCCTGTACTCTTCAAAAATATCAATGTTGAGAAAGACAAGGGAGGGCTAAGGGACCGCCCCAGCGTAAAGGAATCTAAAAGGGTGTGGCACTAAATGCAAAACACAATCCAGATTGGATAATAGACTAGGAAAAAAATGCTTAAAAAGACATTATTGGGTTAATTGATGAAACTCGATTATGGATGGTGATTTAGCTAATTGCATCGATGTTAAATTTCCTGACTTGATTGCACTGTGGTTATGTCAGGGAGTGCGTCTGTACTTAAGAAGTTTACTCTGAGGTCAAAGGATAAAAGGAAACCATGTCTCAACGTACTCGCTAAAAGGGGGGGAATTGGGACAAAATGTAAACAAATGGTGAATCTGGGTAAACTATTTCTAGCAGTTCCTCGTAGTGTTCTCGTAACTTTTCTACAAATTTGAAATGATTTCAAAATAAAAAGTTACCCAAGGAAAGCCTCAGCTAAGAATTTGTTCTGTAATAGAATAATTATCAGTTTTGTGACATCAACAGTGTAGTCAATTGGAGTTTCTAAACATCTTGCAGATTGTAGTTAATCACAAATACATTAGAAGATAAAGAACCCCGTACACTTTCTCACAGGACTAAGGTTTTATAATAAGACCCACCAAGCTCCAACCCCATGTTTAGTCAGCTGCCTTTTTCTTCTGAATTCCTCTGGCTTTTGATTTCTTCCAGAAGCAGAGGAAAAGGAAAAGTCACTCCCTGCAAGAGTGTTTTGCCTCGTCAGGACCCAGGAATAAGCCAGCCTACTACGCTGAGAATATGAGTGCGTGCACGCCTCCCTGTGTGGCAGGTGAGAGTAAAGATGGGGTGGAATCACACTTTCATAAGCAATGCCTCGGGGTAGGTTTTCAAATACTTCATTCACTCTCTACATGCTAGAGAGTACGGATAGTCCAGAGGACCCAGGAGAGAGAATTTTCAATCTTTTTATCATCTTCTCTCTTGATTGTAGGCAAGACCTGTCTCCCCAAATTACAATATTCTTGAACATGAAACAGTACAGTGCTGGAGATGTCACTGTACTTGTGACATCTCGGTGGTCCTCTCAACAAATGTTAATCACAGCAGCTATAACTCGATCACTGTGGCCTGGATTTACACTGGTGTAGGAAGGTGATATTCATCAACCAGAAAAGCTACAAAATGTGTATTTTTTTTCTCTTTTAAAGTGCAGAGCCAATATAATTTTATAAAGAGAACCCTTTTCTAAGAGTAAAAATCCTTAGATTCTGGTGCTACTTTGGAGGCTTAAGTGCAAGCTTGAGTAAGTCACAAAACCTCAGACTCTGAGTGTCCTCGTCTGTAAAACCTGGTTACCAGAGCACACATGGCCTCTTCACAGGTCATGGGAAAGTGAAAGTGGGTAGATCCCATGTAGCAACATATTTGGAACTCTCTTAAAATTTACATAATGAGGTCAGGATACAGCTCATGCTGCATCTTGTAAATCTAGAAGCTGACTATACATTCTGACGTAGCATTTTCCACAATCTAAAGTATCTAAGATTCATTCATTTGACTGTAATATATACTGAACAAAATTACTCGGTATATAAATACTATAGGTAATATCACCATTTTTAAAAATAGTAACCTGCTATTTTTCTCATGAACTTCTAAACAACTCAGAAACCCCTATTTATATATGTAAATTGCATCAACAGTCACTAAACTTTTCAAACATACGCAAATTTGAAAACAAGGTATATGAGATAGTAATACAAAACCATTTTAGATCACAGCTTCTTTGGGGAGGTTTTATTCGGTGATTAAAACTCCTTTTTAAAATCAGATGAATTGTGTTGCAAATTAACAGGAAAAGCCTGACTAATAGCACATGTTTGGAGTGACTTTTGGTACGCCAGGCAAATGTGCTGAGCTAAACCACTTTCCCACAGGGGCCGCCCTACGCCATGTTAATAAACCACTTACTAGATCCAGCGCAATGCAACAATATTCTATGCAATTTAGTAAGTTACAAAAGGGGAGAACATTTCTCTGACTTCTCTGAGTGGATCAGATCAAGGTGACTTTAAAGAAAGCTGAAGAAGAGAAGCAGTAACACAAGTCACAGCTTGGTTCACTCTGAGTCAACTTTAAAAACAAAACAAAAAACTACCTGATTATCTCATAAATCACCTGGCATGCTGTTTCTGATGAGGACTCTCAGGCTGTGTCCAGCAATCTAGTAAGACGCGCTAGCAGAATCAACAGCAAGGTCTAGGTGAAATCCTTAAACACAAGGCTTCTGACGCAGGGGAGGGAGCCGCGATTGCTAAGGTCTGCGCAGACTGAGCGGAGGATTCCAGAATTGTGTCAGGGAGCTGAACAGTGCAAGACAACCCCTGTAGATTGTTCACACCTCAATGTGTTTTTATGGTGGTTTGAATGAACCAGTTAATTATTTAACTTTATTTTTCAATTACTTTTTTCTATGTAGAAGATATTCAAGGTCAAGTAGAATTTGTTTCCTTTCTTCTAAAATGAAGGAAATGACTTAGCCTCCTGCGACAAGTAAACAAGACCAAAAAGAAAATCTACTTTAATGGATAATGGAATAAT